TCTAAAAAAAAAAAAAAAAAAAAAAAAAAAAAAAAAAGTCATACCCCAGATAGAGAAAAAGAGGGTCAACACCTCCCATATTCACTCAGCACATGTTGACAGTTGGCCTTCCACCAAGGGGGCAGGGAAAAGCATGGGCTTTAGAGGAACAGAACTTAATGTGAATTCTGACCTTGCTGTGATTCTGGGAAGCCAAGGTCACCCCAGAGGGTGTCAGTACTCTGGTGTCAGTACCTACCTCTAGAAATTGATATAAGCGTACTCACCTCAAAGGGTTCTTGGCAAAAGCAAGTGAAGTACCCAGGGTAGGAGCTACACTGTCCAAACCAAATATGGAAGCCACTAACCTCCAAATCTCAGTCAAAGGTCTGGCCCCAAAGAGCCAGAGCCTTCCTTTTTGAGCAGGATCCTTCCAGGCTAGGGTCTCAGGCCCCCTGTCTTCAGACCTGGCTTCCTTTGGTGCTCTCAGAATGCCCTCTGACGACCAGTCTCTGTAGTCCCAGTTCCCCCAGTCCTACTTCTGCCTCCCCCTAGGGCCTCTCCAAGGCCCCATCTGAACACCAGTTGCCAGGGATGAGCCTCCCTCTTAAAGGGACACACTGGTAGCCACAGAGCTACTCCGTCTGGTACTCCTGGATTTGTGCCTCAGAGCACTCACTCCCCCTCCCTGGGTTTCAGTAAAAAAGGTTGAGGTGAGAATTCTGGAAGAGACTGTGAAAGGTATCTGTAAGGAAACTAGTTCACTACAGATGTGCTATTGTTGGGAGCTTAGCTTTGTTTGTATTTGTAAGAGTGGACCCAATCCATAGGAGACAAAAACCTGTCCTGCCTTGTGCGCCCCATCCTACAGCTTCTGGAGCCCAGCAGCAGGGTGGGGCCTGGGTATCTGCATTTAACCAGTTCCTAGGAACTCTTGGCTGTGAGATATGAGAGACTAATTTAGGCAATTCCAGCCCCACCCACCGGCTCTATACTAGCTAACTGGGCCCTGGGAGGGGTCTTAGGCCCTGCCAGTGATGGGGTTTTGGAGTGGTGGGGGTCCAGAGCCGATGGCCAAGAAAGAATTCTGGAAGACGTCTTCGGTGCAAAAAAGGTGATTTTCTTAAAGCACAGGGACAGGACCCATGGGCAGAAAGAACTGCACTGGGGTTGTGAATAGTGACTGGTTATATACCATGAGTTAGGGGAGGTAAAGGCAAAAGGGAGGCCTCCAAAAAGACTTTCATATGCTAAAGAGGACTCAGAAGATAGGAGGCCTTGCAATAGTCAAACTAAGTTGTTTTCTCTCTAGTAGGGCATTAACATGAAGACCGTAGAGAGTTCCTAGCGAAATGCTATGCTCTGTATTTGCCTCAAGTATTTGCCAATGGGCTGCAGGTTATAGAGAAATTTAATTTTATTTCTTGCCTTTGTTTCCCAGATCACTACGGAAGGAAGGGTGACGTTGGGGCTCCAGGAAACTGAGTCTATAGGTTTCTGGAGATCAGGCTATTGATAAGATTGCCTTTTTCTTGTAATTTACTAAAACATTTGCATTTGTAAACTATTGGTGACTCCTGTCCTGCACGACTGTGATTTCTATCAGTTAACTATTTCTTTTTTCCTTCTCTCAGCTTTAGGGCAGCCAGGAGTGCCTGAGGAATGTCACAAGTATCCCACCTGGGGGGAGGGGCGTGTTTGCTAGTTTGCGCTTTGCCCTCAGCTTGCCTTATGCTCCCTCATCACCAGTGCCCGGAGACCCAAGGACCAGATCTGGATGGAGCAGGAAGAGCAGATCGAGTTGGGTTTTCCTTCCCGCGGAGATGGTTCTGCTTGCTGTCAGTATTCAACAGAAAACAAATGCTTCTTGAGGGCAAGGCCCTTGTTTTGTTCTCTACAGTATTCCCAGAATCCAGAACAGTGTGTACCCCAACACATTTGTTTAATGAATGAACCAAACTCTGGCATAGGGCCTGGAAACAAACAAACAAACAAACAAACAAACAGGCGTTTTCCTATGGCCCGGATTGAATATGGCTCCTCAGCAGGGCACAATTATTGGTCCTGTCTTTTACATTTTTTTCTATATTTTGCTCATCACAGATTTTTTTGGCATTAATTTTTATTTTTAAAAAATATTAAATTAGAAAGAAAAAAATTAAAACACCACTTATTTTGATGTTTATTTTGGTGTCCTCCTAAGTTTTTTGCCTGTGCAGGTAATCACCTTACCTGTTCACTCTGGTCTCAGCCCGGCAGGCCTGCCAGGTTCTTTATATAGCCTTGGGTACATCCCTTTTGTTTTTCCTCACCAAGTGGAGACGACAATACCTTCTAGAGCTTCTGTGAGAATGCATGAAGATATGCAGTCAACTGTCCAGTGTGATGGCTAGCACATAGTAAGGGGGTCAATAAATAATGGTTATTCCTAGCTCACTGTTCATAGTCCTATCAGGTGGGGATTACGTCCCCATTATGTAGATGAAGAAACAGTTCGGGAAATGTGACTTGTCCAAGTCCTTATAGTTAGCAGGGACCAAACTGTGGTTTTCCGGACTCTGCCTCAAGCGATCTGATGAGAACAAAGGCAAAAGGAAATGTAGACAAAATTAAATTTCCTTATAACCTGCAGCCCATTGACAAATCCTTGAGACAGGCAGAGTTTAATATTCCTCCTGGAAGTCCCAACTGTCTCAACGTTAATGCTCTGCTAGAGTAAAAAAAAAAAAAAAAAAAAAAAAAAAAAAAAAAAAGATCATAGTTTGACAATAGCAAGGCCTCTTAGATCCTGAGAATCTTCTTTAGCATATGAAAGTCCTTTTGGAAACTTCTCTTTGTCTTTACCTTCCCCAAATCCCAAAGTATATAATCAGTTACTCCTCACAACCCATTCCAACTCTTTCTGCCCATGGGTCCCATCCCTGTGCTATAATAAAAACACATGTTTACACCGAAGACATCTCCAGAATTCTTTCTTGGACTTCAGCTCCAAACCCCAACATTTCAAACCATATCAGATCTTCCTAGGGCACTGCAGCTACCAAGACAAAAAAACAAAACAAAAAACTATCAAAAGCATTGTGCACTGAAGTGCCACTCATAGGTGTGTGGATGTGTGTCTTTGCATGGCCTAAACTGCCAGAGCTGATCACAGGTGATGAGGGAGCGTGAGGTAAGCTGAGGGCAAAGTAAAGCTGGCACACACCCCCTTCCCAGGTGGGACGTGTATTTATTCCTTGGACACTCCCAGCTACCCAAAAACAGGAAAGGACAAAAAAAACAAATGATTAAACAGATAAGAGACTCCACCAGTTTACCAGAAAAAGGCAATCCCATCAATGGCCTAAAGTCCAGGAACTCCCTGTTGTCAATATTAATGCTTTGCTAGAGGGAAAAACCACCTTAATTCAACAATAGCTAGGCCTCCAGTATGTCTTTAGCATGTGAAAGTCTTTAGAAACTTCCTCCTTACTTCATCTCCCCAACTCCATAAAAGGGTCACTCCCCACACTTGCTGTACAGCTCTTACCTGCCCATGGGTCCTGTCCCTATGCTTTAATAAAATTACCTTTTTGCACCAAAGACGCCTTCAAGAATTCTTTCTTGGCCATCGGCTCTGGACCCCACAAACCATCACCCCCAAACTTCATCACAGGCATTGGCAAGAATAGTGGATGCAGCAAAAATGCCCACCCACGCATACTCCCAAACTGAATGGCACTCCCTGGGAGCGGGGGGGGGGGGGGGGGGGGGGGGGGGGGGGGGGGGGGCTTGGCTCTGGCAGTATGGAAGGAAGCCAAAACAGAATCCTGGAGAAGAGGAAGCTGTAGTCCATGCATTTCAAAGGCAACTTTGAAATTCACCATAATACCAGCACCCAGAGACAGCCTGCTGCTTTTCATTACCATGCTTTTTCCACGCTAAATATTCTACAACACAGATTTTTATGGCTTCGCGGCACTTCATCTCATAAATAGATCATAATTTAACCAATCCCCATTTTTCCCCTTATTTTCTAAAAGTTAAATTGCTGGCTCAGAGGTCTGCCCATTTTTAAGACTTTTGACGTGCAATACCTGCTTAATCAGTAACGGTATCAAACACATCTATACAAATTCTCCTTTGGAATAGGCCTGCTGTGTGCCAGGTCCTATGTGGGCTCTTTTACACTTTTTATTTCTTTGCATATGCACAACAACCCTACAGAGTAGGTGATATTCTTCCCATTTCACAGATGGAGACACAAAGCCTCAGAGAGGTGAAGTGACTTGTTCGAAGTCACATAGTGGTGGAGCTGGGAGGGAAGGCAACCTAGGACTGATCATAAAGTCAACGTGATGGTTAAATAATTATGAATAGAGGGATCCAGAAAGGTTTCTTGAAGGAGGTGGACCATGAGCTAGGCCTCACGGGGTGGACAGAATGACAGCGGAAGAATTATTAGTCCGCCAAGGCCATCTGGTAAAGTCCAGAGCCTGAGCAAAGGCCATCAGATTAACGCTTAAGATTTGTAGGGCAAAGGCATTAGCAAGGAACGGGTGAGTCACGGAGTGACTGACGGCGGGCGGGGAGACTCGGGGACAGCTCAGGTTCTTGGAGTCCCGCCCTCTCACTGCACTGCAGGGTTTGAGGCTCCGCCCCCGTCCAGCCACCCAAGATCAGATGCAATCAGAATATTCCCGCCGAGCACCAACTCTGGCCCCGCTCCTCTCTTCCGGGTTCTATGCCTCACTTCCCGTCGCGCCCAGGCTCAGGCCCCGCCTACGTCTGGTTTGGAACAATCAGACCAGCCTGCTGCTCTCTGCTCCTCCCTATGCCACGCCCCCTCCCCACCTGGTGCAATCAGAATCAGCCTTCCTGAGTCAGCTCAGGCCCCGCCCCCGCCCCGTCAGGGCAGTCCTTCTCCCGCCGAGATCACGCCCTGGCCCCGCCCCTCCCGCGCCCCGCCTAGTCTAGCCTCTTTCCTACTCGGCTCTGGAGGCGGCCTCGCTGCACTCTGCCGCGCGCGCCGAGCTGCAGCCATGGCGGTCGCCACTGAGGGCGCCCGCAGGAAGGAGCGCGTCCTCTGCCTGTTTGACGTGGACGGGACCCTCACGCCGGCTCGCCAGGTAAGGCCCTGACGTTCAGCAGCTCCCGTCGGGAGTGTCACGCGGACAGAGAGGGCTGCAGCGACGTGACCCTGGACACCCCAGGACCGAGTGTAGGATGCAGCGGTATACAGCCCCTAATGCCCCAGGGCCGCCTACTGGGAGTGATGGGGACTCGGTCCTCCATGTCCCATCCCCCGAGCGTCTGCGCTCACCTTCTGCCCGGGAGCGTCGGGGCGGGTGGGAGTCTGGAGGGAGGAGGCTGCGAGCGGGGACCTAGCTTCGCTGCCCCCGCTCAGGCCTCCTCTCGCCGAGGCCTGGTCCCCGGGCGCCCCCGCCTCGCCAGCCCGGGCACCCGCCCCTAGGATGCACCTGTAGCCCGAAGCTGGCGACTGAGCCCGGGGCTCTAGAGCCCTAGCCCAGAGCCCTCTGCGCGCACCCAAGCATCAGAGTCGCCACCTAGTGGGATTCGGGGGTCTCGGAGCCAGCCCACCAGACCTTTACAGGCCTGGGTGGACGTCTGTTTTCTCAAGCTCCTCACCCACTTTACCTCCCACCCCCAGTTATGGAAGGAGGTAAGGCTTCTGTAACTTTTCGGATTAGTTTTGGGCTCTGACCACCTGGATGGAGGTGAGAGTCCCCAGGCCTGGTCTGGTCACTGAACATACTGTGGCACAAGGAGGGTGGGAGTACTGCTTGTTTAAAGGCTTGTCGCCAAACTCTGCTCCACGCTCAGTTTTTCTAGCTTTGGATCTCACCCTAGATGAGCCCCCAATCTGATCTGGTGGGGTACATAAATAAGCAGGCCTCTTTCTTGTTGGCCCTAAGGGTATTCTGCCCTCCAGTCCCTGGGCATAAGGAACAACTAAGATCCCCTAGAGCAGGGAGCCAGTAGGGCTGGGTTGCAGGGCAGAGACTGATGGAAACCCAGGCCTTAGCCTCCCCTTTTAGGTCCTGAATGACCTCCCCCCCCCTTCCCTATTGGACGGCCCTGGATTGGGTTCTGGGGGCACAAGGAGGTATTTGGCTGCCCTGCCTCCAGCAGCTCTCAGGGTCCTCCTCAAGGATGGCAGAAAGAGGTCAGTGGAGGGTGGCAGGGTCGAAGACACAGCCCCAGCCCCTCCCTCTGACCCTTTGCTCCACTGACCCATCAGCCTATATAAGAACAGTGTGTTATTACTTGTCCTTCAATGTTCATGCCAAGCCCTATCCTTAGTGCTTTTTAAAAGTTAATTTTTGGGCTACCTGGCTGGCTCAGAAGAGCATGCACCTCTTGATCTGGGGGGTCATAAGTTCTAGCCCCACATAGTGTAGAGATTCCTAAAAAAATAAATATATAAGCTAAAAACTAAAAGTTAATTTTTTAATGTTTATTTAAAAAATTTGTTTTAAATGTTTATTTATTTTTGAGAGAGACACACACACACAGTGTGAGCAGAGGAGGGGCAGAGAGAGAGGGAGACCATCTGACGCATGCTCCAGGCTCTGAGCTGTTAGCACAGAGCCTGATGCAGGGCTTGAACCCACGAACTGTGAGATCATGACCTGCGCTGAAATCGGTCGCTCAACCATCTGAACCATGCAGGTACCCGTAATGTTTATTATTTATTTTTGAGAGACAGAGAGCGAGCGAGGAAGGGACCGAGAGAGAGACAGAGGATCCTAAGCAGGCTGTGCACTGACAGCACTGAGCCCGACGCGGGGCTCGAACTCAAACCGTGAGGTGATGACCTGAACTGAAGTCCGACACTTAACCTACTGAGCCACCCAGGCGCCCCAATAAAAGTTAATTTTTAATTGTACACGTATTCATAAACACTTTCTTTTGTAAAGAATGAAAACAACAGAGAAGGCTAAAGTTCCCTCTGACTATGTCAGGATCCCTGGCCCACCCCCTCCCGAGAGAAAGGTGGTTGCCTCTCCTGTGGCTTCCCTCCAGACCTTCATCTAGATCTGTTTGCTCAGAACAAATATTAAGCATTGTTTTGTGAGGCTTCTTTTATTTATTTATTTTTTTAATGTTCATTTATTTTTGAGGGAGAGGCAGACCGCGAGCAGGGGAGGTGCAGAGAGAGAGGAGACACAGAATCCGAAGCAGGCTCCAGGCTCTGAGCTGTCAGCACAGAGCCTGACGCAGGGCTTGAACCCACAGACCGCGAGATCATGACCTGAGCCAAAGTTGGACACTTAACCAACTGAGCCACGCAGGCGCCCCCCCCCTTTTTTTTTCCCCTAATTTAATGGATGATATCATACTGTGTGTGCCTTCCTGGAACTTGCTTTTAACAGTTAACAGCAGGTCTCAGGACTCTCCCATATTGGAAGCACAGGCCTGCCTTATTCTGTGTAACCACAGTGTAGTATTTCAGAGCAGGTATTTACCATTCTCTGATTGATGAGCCTATGAGTTGTTTGCAGGTTTTCACTATTACAAACCATACCCCAGGGGACCTCCATATACATCCAGGCAAGAGAAGCGGAAGTTCTGGGTAACGGGGCACACGCATTTTAAGTTTTCATAGATATTGCCAAATTACCCTCCAAAATGGCTGCACCAGTTTACACTCTCATAGGCAACATCTGACATCATCATTTACTACACATATTGTCAGCTTTAAAGAGCTGAAAGTTTGAAAACATGGAGTGTAACTCATTAGTTTGCATTTCCTTGGTGGGGAATCCTCATGTGATTAGTCACCAGTTAATTGCTTGTTTATTTCCAAGCACTCTGGATCCACGATCTCATTTAATCTTAGCAGTGACTGCCTCCATCTGGTTGCTACTCTGTTTCCCCCATTTTATAGATGGGACAAGTAAGGCAAAGAAAACAAAGCCCATTGCTCAAGATCATCCTGCAGCTGAGAGACTTTTTGAACCCATTACATCTAGTTTTGTGGTCTGGGTTCTAAACCTTGAACCTCAGATTCCAGTGGAACCATGGGCTCCCTGGATTCTGAGCACCAAGTGAGGATTGAATGGGGGTCCCAGACATGCTGACAGCCACAAATCTTGTGCTTTCCCCAACCTGTCCCTGCAGAAAATTGACCCTGAGGTGGCTGCCTTCCTGCAGAAGCTGCGAACTAGGGTGCAGATTGGTGTCGTGGGCGGCTCGGACTACTCTAAGATTGCTGAGCAGCTGGGAGAGGGGGATGAAGGTATGAGCAGCGCCCAGAGCCACCCACAGTTAGGATGGGGGGTGCAGGGAGTGGGGAGTTCGGGAGGCCCCTGGACCCATGTGCCTTCAAAGACCCTGCCCCGATTCTGTGCTGCAGAGGAAGTAGGGGGAAACAGCGAAATACTCCCCTCACTGATTCACAGTGAGCACCTACCATGTGTCTGGCACTGTGCCAGGCTTTGGAGAAACAGGGAACAAAGCAGACAGAATATTGCCCTTGAGTAGCTCACATTCTCTGCTCTCTTTGCTGAGTCTAGGATGATTTCCTTGTCTTTAAAATGCACATAGTTATGCCTGGCTGGCCCAGTCGGTGGCCCCTGCCTGGCCCCTGAAATGCACAGTAGTTAGTAATGGCTACCATTGCTGAAAATGGCCATATGTTAACTTCTTTTCATTTACTCCTCAACACCAACTTTAGGAAGGGCTTGGTTATCCCATTTAACAGAGAAGGATCTGAAGTCACTCAGGAAGTTGTTTTAGACCCAGAGCATCTGTTCTCAGCTGAGTTCCTGGTCTCAGCTCAGGGCAGATCCCACCAGTTCTCAAACCAGAAACTTACTTGACTTTTCCCTTTCCCGTACCCCCTCGTGCATTCTCCAGTAAGTCTAGAAATAGCTCCCTGTGTGTCCATGTCTGCGTCTCCACTGCCCCTCCATTGTCCAGGTGATCGCCTCCCACCTAGACCCTGCAGCAGCCTCCTGGCTGTGCCCCTCCGCACCTCCTCCTCCCACACCCTCCAGCCACTTACATGGCAGCCAGAGCTGGAAATCCCCCCATTCAACCAGTGACAGAAGCCCCTGGATGGTGCCTGGATGGTGGCGCTGTGAGATCACAGAGCAGAAATGACTCCCTCTGTTGAGGAGTCCTGGAAGGCTTCTGGAGGAGGGAGCCAGATCATGGAGTGGGGGAAGGTGGTCCAGGCAGAAGGACCTGTGTGAGCAAAGGCCCAGAGGTGTGACTGGCTTGTTTGGGGAAAAAGCTGAAAGTGAAGAGCCTAGAAAAGCAGGTTTGGGGTGGAATAAATGGGCTTTGAATGCCAAACCAAGGAGTGTGGGCTTTATCCTTCTACTTGGCTCTGGGTACCTGGTCTCACACTCTTTCTTTCCCCCTGGCCTCTACATGTCCCTGAAGTCATCGAGAAGTTTGATTATGTGTTTGCCGAGAATGGGACAGTGCAGTATAAGCATGGACGACTGCTCTCCAAGCAGGTCAGTGGCCCCCAGAGCCTCAGACCGGGACACTTTTCCATAGTGACATAGCCTGTGGTGCCTCTGTCCTGGGCTGGGGGAGGGCACTGTGCCTGCCAAACCCAGAGCCCCCCTGTTCCTTGCCCAGACCATCCAGAGCCACCTGGGGGAGGAGCTGCTGCAAGACTTGATCAACTTCTGCCTCCGCTACATGGCCCTGCTCAGGCTGCCCAAGAAGCGGTGAGACCCCTCCCAGCCTTGCATCCAGCCTTCCCCCTCCATCCCAGGCCTGAGGGAGGACAGGGGTGGGTCTCTCAGATGGGACCTGCATGCTCCAGGGCCCCAACTTACTGGTGCGTGAATTCTTGTCTCCTGGGAGGTCCAAGGAGGCCATGGTCCCAAATGGGGCTGGATTTGAATTCAGGGCCATTCTCCTTCTCTCTGGCTCCCTGCCCCCCTTCCTACCCCCGTTACCGTCAGTGGAACCTTCATCGAGTTCCGGAATGGCATGCTGAACATCTCACCCATTGGCCGGAGCTGTACCCTGGAGGAGCGAATCGAGTTCTCCGAACTAGACAAGGTGCCACCAACTGTGTGACCTTGGGCTGTAGGGCCTCAGTTACTCAACCTCTGTGAACCTTTGTTTTCCCATCAGTGAAATGGATTAGCAGTGGTGGTCTGATTCAACCAGTCCCCTTTTGGACACCCACCATGTGCCATGGTCTAGGCACTTCTGCGTCTTTCCAACATGGCTGGTTTCCCTCCACCACTGGCCACCACTTATCTAAGCCAACACCCTAGGGTATCATTTCCACCTTCCCACCCTTGTAGGGTACAGCAGTAACTCCTCTTTTTTTTTTTTTTTTTTTTTTTTTTTTTTTTTTTTTTTTTTTTTTTTTTATGTTTTTATTTTATTTTTGAGAGAGAGCGCAAGCAGGGGAGGGAGAGAGAGAGAGGGAGACACAGAATCCAAAGCAGGCTCCAGGCTCTGAGCTGTCGGCACACAGCCTGACTTGGGGCTCGAACTCACGGACTGTGAGATCATGACCTGAGCTGAAGTCGTACAGTTAATCGACTGAGCCACCCAGGCGCCCCAGCAGTAACTCCTCTTGATTCAGCCTCCGGAGTTGTCTCAAATCTGTTCACTTATGTGTCTCTTCCCACCCCCTCCCCAATAAGCTCCTGCCAGTCTGTTCTCTAACGGTGCCACTGGGAACCTTTTTGAAGCACCTCCGCCCCCATGCACTCCCTGCTTACAGAACTTCCGTTGCTCCTCTCGCCAACTGAGCAGTGTCTCAGCCCCTCCTGGGCCGCCCTGAGCCCTGAGGGGTCTGCCCAGGTCAGGCCCACCCCTTCAGCCTTCTCTCTGCATCTGTTCTTGGCACATACCAGTATCTCTCTCGCCTTTGCATGTGCTGCCCCTGCTAAACCTTGACTTGGGTTTTGCTTATCAAGCCTACCGCCTACCCTGCCCTTTCAGGGATGGAGTGAGTCCACCCATCCAAAGCCTTTTCCCGCTGGCCCGTCTGTGGCCTTCTCTCCCCTTTGCTGTCTCTGCTTCAACCATGTTCTCCTTGCTGATTCTAGAGATAGCAGACAGGTTCCCACTTCAGGGCTGTGCCTTCTGCCTGGAACACACTTTCCTCAGACTCAGCTGGTCCTTTCCTCTTCACATTTGCTCACGTGTCACTTTCTCATTCCATACAACAGTGCGTCCCCCTGCACCTCCCACTCCTCTCTTGTTCCTCCCCAAGCAGCCATCGCTGCCCTCTAATACACTCTATCACCTACTTTTCTTTTTTCTTTTCTTTTTTTTAATGTTTATTTGTTTTTGAGACAGAGAGAGACAAAGTGTGAGTGGGGAAGGGGCAGGGAGAGAGAGGGAGACACAGGCTCTGAAGCAGGCTCTGAGCTGTCAGCACAGAACCTGATGCGGGGCTCGAACTCACAGACTGCGAGATCATGACCCAAGCTGAAGTCAGACGCTTAACCAATTGAGCCACCCAGGCACCCCTATCACCTACTTTTCAAATCTTGGTCATTATCTGTTTCCCCTGCTGAAGCTATAAGCTGCTTAAGGGCCAGGATTTCTGTAGCTGTTCACCGCTGGATCCCCTGTGCCCAGCATGTGCCCAGCACATGCCCAGCACGTAGCAAGTGCTCGAGAGAAATACTTGCTGAATGAATGAAATAGGTGGTGTTATCCCCATTTTATGAATAAGGAAACAGGCTCAGAGAGGGGAAATGCCTTGCCAAGGTCACTTAGGGAATTGGTTACAGAGCAAAGATTTGAACTTGGGACCTTGGGACTCTACCTGTTCCCCTCTGGTGTTTCCCTGAGGGTGGGTGGGACTCATAGGGATGCCTTCCAGCTCACCGACCCCCCATTCCCACTTTGGGTCCCAAGGTTTAGAATAGGCAATGCCCACAGGCATGAAGACTTTTTCTTTTTGGGGTGGTTAACACTGACCATTGGCAGAGAGCCTCTCCCATGCACATACTGAGAGGTGGCCTCTACTCAGGCCACCTAGTTTCCAATCCTAGCTCCACCTCCTGCTTGCTGAGCAGCCTAGAAAAGTGACTTTACTACTGTGTGCCTCTGTTTTCATGTCTGTAGAGTGGGGGTAAACATAGTTCCCATCTCTTGGGCTATAATGACTAGACGAGATGGAAGTCTAAGACACACTGACCCTTCCCAAAGCTCCCAGGATCTTCTCTTGTCTTTCTGGCTCCTGTTCGCCCCCTTCTGATATTGGAGGTGGGGGGGCATGAACTTCCTGATCTGTATGCCCTACACCAGCCAGGATCCCATATAAATATTTTATTCTCCGGTCCTTCAGATCCCAAGGGCAGGTAGTCCCCTTCCTCAGATGAGGACTCTGAGGCCAGAGGTTAAGTGACCAGCTCCAGTCACAGTGCTCGTCCTTGCTGACTCTGGACTTGACACGGCCTGTCCAGTGATCAGCTTGGTTCTGTAGACCCAGGAGATACAGCATCCTAGGCGATGTGGGAATGTTTATTCTGAGCCTGGGACACCTTTAACTCTAACCCTAGGCCCACAAAGTGGCCCCTGGTGGGGACTCTGGGCTCCCTGGGGGCCTGCCTGCCAAGAAGGCAAAACCAAGGCAGGCAGGGGGCTCACATGCCTCCTGTCTGCTTTTCTAGGAGACGCAGGTTAGGTAGGGTTCATTTATTACCTCTATCTTTTAGTCCAGGAAATAGGCTCAGAGAAGTCAGGCAACTTGTCCATAGTCACATGGCCAGGCCTGGAACCCAGAGGGTCTGCCCTTATCTCCCAGGTTGGGTCATATCTGGCCTTATAGCTCACCCTTCCTGGCCTATTACAGGCCCCAAACTATTGGCCACTGCCTGCCTCTCTCCACTCCAATCCTACACAATGTGGACTGACTAAAATACAGTCCTGGGCACTCTGTTCCCAAGAGTCCCCAGTGACTCTTGGTTCCCCAGGATGTGTCCAAACTCCCTTCCAGGTCACCTGTGAGCTGACTGGCCAGGCTCTCACGGCCACCTGGCATCCTGCTGACCTCTGAGTACCCACCACCACTTAGTAACAGGGCTCCCCATCCTCATGGGCATCTCATGCCCATCTCTGGTGTCTGGTTTGTTTTGTTGAGCTGGGCAGAGCCAACAGGACTGAGCCCTGCCCTGAGGTGGACCTTATGACCTGGGACTCAGACTGCCCCATCCCCTCAAATTCCTCCTCGTGCCTCCACTCCGAGGCTTCCTCCAGATACCCTGCCCACACCCCCACTGGCAGGATCCGGCCCTGAGTTCAGTCATAGACTTCTGACTCAGGCCCTGGCTCTGCCACTGAGGCTGTATGACCTTGAACAAGGCACAGCCCCCTCTCTGAGCCTCTGTTTCCTCATCTGTAAAGTGGGGGGGGGGGGGGGGGGGGCGGGTTCATGGTGTCCACCTGAGCTCACACGGGGCCTGGCTCACAGCAGCCCCCTGAGTCTCCTCCCTCCCCTCTTACAGAAGGAAAAGATCCGGGAGAAGTTTGTGGAAGCCCTGAAAACAGAGTTTGCCGGAAAAGGGCTGAGGTTCTCCCGAGGTATGTCCATCTGTTCGTCCTGTGGAGGGTCTTAGAGCCTGGCACAGAAGCCAGCCCAGCGTCTCGCTCCCCAGCACCTCTAGAAAGCTTTCCTGCCCCCAGTCTTCCCCACCTAAACCCAGCCCATGTCCTGCCACCCACCCAGGTGCTCAGGTCAAAAACCAAAGCATCTCCCTCAATTTTCTCCCTCACCCCTTCCCACCTGCAGTCTACTAGCAAGTCCCAAGGCCCTGTATCCAGAATGGTTCTGGAATCTGACCGCAGCTCACATCATCTCCTGCAGCCTCTTCTCGGGCTCTGGCTAACTCCAGCACAGCTATCCTCCCACTGCCACGTCACCCACTGCCCAGTGTCCGGAGGGACACTCACAGAAGAGCAGACCATGCTGTACCCTTGCTCAGAGCCCTCACTGGACCCCAGGGCCTGTATGGCCTCACCCCTGCCCTGTCCCAGCCTTCTCTGGTGCTGGCACACTCCATGCCCTTCTTGGGGACTCTGCCTGCTCCCCTGCAGTTGCCACTCTGGTTTAGGCCTTAGTGTTCCCTCCCGGAGAGATCTCCCCAACCGTGCTGGCTGGGGAGCTTCCCTCCCCCGACCCCACTGACTTACATGCTCTGAGGTGGTCTGGTTGGTTTGCTGCCTGTCCTTCCCCCTGGATCGCAACTCTCGTGAGGTCCCTGAGTCTTCCGTGCCCTCTCCCAGGCTCTAAGCAGGCACTCAAGGGTTGTCGAGTGAATGAATGAGGGATCTTGCCCAAGTTCACCCAGTGGGCCACCACTCTGTTAGCCGTGTCCGCCATCCCCCACAGGAGGCATGATCAGCTTTGACGTCTTCCCTGAGGGCTGGGACAAGCGCTACTGCCTGGACAGTCTGGACCAAGACAGCTTTGACACCATTCACTTCTTTGGGAACGAGACCAGTCCCGTGAGTATGGCTCAGCCCAGGTGCTTTCCAGCCCAAATCACCCCCAGGTCAAGGCCAGGACACAGGGCAACAGAACAGGCCCCTGGGAGACTACTGGAGACCAGCTAGTGTTCACCAGCCCCATTACCCAGATTGGAAGGCTGGGGCCAGAGCTGGCTGGACACTTGTCCCATGTCACACAGTGAGTCAGGGCAGATCTGGTGAAGGCCCAGAAGGTGGGCTTCCTGGTGGTTCTGAGAGGGCAGAAGAGGCAGCTCCAGGAGCCAGTGTGGGGAGGGGGGCTCCTCGCCAGGGCGCATGCTGGGCCATAGCCCTGGGAAGCTCCTTCAGGCGTTACATGTTTGTGTCTTCCCTGCCCTTTCTTGTGTGCAGGGTGGGAATGACTTTGAGATCTACGCTGACCCCCGGACCGTCGGCCACAGCGTGGTCTCTCCGCAGGATACAGTACAGCGATGCCGAGAGATCTTTTTCCCAGAGACCGCCCATGAGGCCTGACCAGGACCCACACCCGCTCTTAGGGACTTCCAGAGAGTTCTACCTGGGCCTAAAGAGGGCCCCTGGCCCTGGTGTTGAGGAAGTGGGGAGCCAGGGCCCCTCCTCCTCTGGGATCAGGATGCCTGCCTCCTATACCCTGCTGCAAGGCCCACCTTAATGGGGCCAGGGTCCACGAGGACCACCGTCCCCATCCAGTCAGCTCCTGGTGGGACCAGCTCCGTCCTTCACCCTGACAGCCCTGGCTACAGCTGCTGCCCATCCTTGTGAACAGAACAGATCTGCCTGCGCTGGGAGTAGGCACGTGCTAGTGTCAGACGAGATAGAGCCAGCCCGCTCGCCTGTGCCGGAGGGGTACAGAGCGCTAGGGAAGGTGCGTATTTGCCAGAACTTTCTCTCACAAATATTAAAGTTCCTGGAACAAGGTATGGTGTAAATTCCATCTGAATGGATGATTGGTCCCAGTCACAGATGACATTACAGCCACCGCTTTGCAGATGAGGAAAGAGAAGCAAGATGGCAGGGACTCCCTCCACTCCCCACGGGGTCACACAGGAAGTCTTTGATCCACTTGAGGGGAATAGGCCATTGAAGCCCTGAACAAGGGTTGGTTTGGGGTACCCTCCCCAGGCTCCTCCCCAGGGACCCAGACAGACAGGCAGCTCTGGGCCAGGCTGAGTCACAGTTGAGGGTTTATTGCCAGTGTTAGGAGGTGGGGGAGGGGGAGTCCGGGAGGCTGTGGGTCTCAGGGGGATCTCTGACTTGGACGATGCAGGGCTGTGGGTCTGGAGGAGCCCTCCTGCCCCTCTGCCCTTCCCTCCCCGCCAGGCAGCCCTGGGCTGATGTCACCACATCCTGTCTCCCAGCAAGTGCCTTAAGGGAGGGGTGGGGAGGGCACCAATAAACCTTCCACCAAGGAAGCCAGGAAGTCCTTGTTCCTCCAGGGCAAGCCCTAGGCCTTGCTGGAGTAGCTGCAGCTCATAGTGGGGTGTCAGGCTGGGCCATTCTCAGTTTGCAGGGGCCATCCAGCATATCTCAGCAGTTCTGGCCCCCTAGCCTTGCAGGGACTGAGAACAGGGGAGGGGGAGTCTACCCCAGCTGATCTCTACCTTGGAGCCTCAGGGCTCCCACAAGGCTGGGGATCCTTCTAAACAGACACCTCCTCATTCTGGGCATTTGAGCCCATTTTATTCACAGACCCAGTCTCCTAAGGGTCACTGTCCCTGGCAAGACTTCCTTGACCCCCATTTCTTTTCCCATCAAATGATGTGTTTTATGGAAAGGAGGGTGGGGGGGGGTGGTGGTGGTAGGATGGAGGCAAAGCTGCTCTGTCCTGGCCTCCCAGGCCAGACCAGCCCCCCACCCAAGAGTGAACACACACACACACACACACACACACCCCTTAAGGGACTCGAGAGATCGGGATCACACCTCAGCCACTGGCCTGTTGGGGCGCAGTAGCCACCTACTATAGCTGCAGGAAGAGGCCAGCAAAGGGTTGCAGGGCTGGTGGTGTCACAGGCTGAGGGCCATCCTGTAGGTGCCCATGCCTGGCCCTGCCTGAGGGGACATGCGTCTGCATCACTGGGTCCTCAGCAGCCAGTGGATCTCAGCATGGGCGGAGTATCAGCAGAGCCTGTGGGTCAGGGCAAAGGGGATGGCTCCATCCAAACTGGGGGCGATGCGCCCCCACCCCTCCCCAGATCTGCGTCTCGGAGGGCGGAGGCAGCATGGCTCAGCGCAGTCCCGGGGAGGGGACATGGCCTTACCCGAGTTCATAGAGCTGTTATCAGGCTAGGGAGGAGGGACTGTGGCCGGCAAAACCAGGACCCCAAAAACTACGTTCCACGCTCAGCTCCTTCTTGCCTACTTCTCCAGTATGCCAAGAGGAGAGAGCAGGTGGAAGGAAGGCTGGGCCGTGGCGGTGAGGAGGGCTCTGTCTGCCTCCAACGTTTGCCTCTTGCCCTGCCAGAGGCTGAGAGGCTCCCCCAGAGCTCTCGCTGGCCTGGCTTCTGAGGGAAGGGGTACAGGCCACAGTGGGAGACCCCAGCCCAGGGTGGGCGGTTTAAGTACAAGCAGAGTCTGGTCCCGGGGCCAGGCCTGGGGCAGAGGCAAGGGGAACAAGCTGGTACGGTGGGCCCACTGGTGCCCCTGCCTCCCAGGCCTGACGCAGGCCTTCAGAGGCTCAGTGGACAGAAGGGCGAGGGCGTCCTGTGCGGATGTGGCAGGGAGGGGGAGGAGAGAGCGGACAAACAGAAGGCAGGTCTGGTGGCCTCCCCTTCGGTCCAGCTCACACAACAGTCACTGGTCACGGGGGTGGATGGAGGCACACGCTCACGGCCACAAGCACAGACAGACTGACGTGTACACTGAGGCCGCCCAGGGAGCTGGGTCAGCCGGTGCAGCAGGGCCCGGAGCCCGAGGCTGCCCGTCTACCCAGTGTGGCTCCCCACCCGCCCAGCAGCTGACCCGTGAGCCCCCCAGCCTAGGAGCCCACGACCTGGCCAGACCACGTCTCGTGGGGAGTGTGTGGGGCCAATTGTGTGAGCACCACCTCCACAGCCTGGAACTTCTGATTCTTGGGCGGGATGGGGCACATCTTGTAGGTCACTTCGTCGCCTTCCACTGGCACGTACTCTCCCTCGATGCTGGTGGGCAGGAGAGGAGCGTCAGCTCAGCAGTGGGTCCCCTTCCCAGACGGGCTGGGGGCAGCCTCCCCTCCCATCCCAGAGTTTGAGCTCTCGGATCCGAATCCATATAGTGGGAACCCTAAGCAGTCCCTCCCCTGCTGTTTGAGGATTGAGATGTGAAAAGCACAGGAGGTCCGGAGGCCTGGAGAAGCTCAGTGTCCTCTCCAGGTTCTGCCGGGCATCAGGGCCGGGGGCCGGGCCTAGACCGCCTCTCCTATGTCTCTGCCCTTCAGGCTGAAAAACCCAGGGGCCAGCCCAGCCCTCTCAGTTTTCAAGATGCTGAAACGGGATCCCAGGGCTCAGCCAGTGGTTGG